TCCCAAGTAGCGTTGAAACTATTGGACCCTGGACGTCACTTTGAGTAGTAGGGGTGAGGAGGAGTAGGTGGAAGAACTTGGATGGAGGGGACCTCAAGCTTTGTGGCACTGAGAGCAATGACAACATTTCTGGGTGTCTGAGTTATACACTGAGGAGAAAGACACTATTATCAACAGAGTTGCCCATCTTCACAGGGATCATTTCAGTCTGGACAAAGAGCATCTTCTCCCACAGATACAGAAAGAACTGAAGACTAAAAGCCCTTCCCCAAGTTTTCTGGCCTATTTCCCCACAAGCATTTGGGCTTCTTGAATGACCCTACAGAAGGGAAGGAACCCAACTGCCAACCCCAATAGACTGAGTTTCCAAACTATCTTGGCTTGAAGAAGGAACGGTGGAGGACCTTGAGCCAGATATATTTAATTTAGAAAAATGAAGACGTGAAATTTTTCGAGCCCAAGTGTCACGGAGCCAATTCAATTGAGCTAGGCTTTCAATCTGAAACTTAAAGAGAATCAGATTCAAGAATCGATAAGTAACCATTCGTGAGTTATTTCATCAACAAATGTGAGGGGATGATGAGTGGATTTCCTTAAGCCCTAACGTGGGGCATTTTTGGGGCTTCTGACAAGAGAAAGTCGTTGAAGGGGACAAGTGCCTCAAAAGATTGAACTTCCTTATCGTCAGTGATTTTGCTGTGGCTGTCAGAGAACATGGCCCTTCCCCTCAAACACCCTCTTCAAACTGCCCTTTGAGATTTTTTTTTCCTCCTTCAAGTCCTTGCTCTTCATTTAAACATGATTTCACCAGTATCAACACATTCAGGAGAAAGACCCAGTTTGATTTTCTCCTGCCAGCATCTTCCAAAGATAGCCTCACATCCATTCTCTCATAAGAACAAGTCTTAAAAATAAACTAAGGCAGTAAGTGCCGTGTCCAAAGCCAAGTTTGTTCCAAAGCTGAGAGTCATAAAATCCAGGGCTCCCTTTCCCTAATTCAATTTTAAGAGCAAATGCCTTTTGTTAGTAATTTTGCCTGTAACCTCTGATCCTGCCATCTTCAGGACCCGATGTTTTATTAAAGCATTTCCAAATCTGGTTCTGATTATATAAGAAAAGTTTGTGCCTGTGCTCATCAATGTCACAAGTCACAAGGCGATACCAGCTTGATTTGTCCTTAATCCTCCAGAAGGGCTAAAATCCAGGCAGAAGATGAGGATAAGACGGAATTATTACATCTTTTTGCCTGATGATTTGTCCTTGAAAAATCAAGTCAGAAAGTGGTCCCACAGTGGTTTTGCTTGGCCAGCAGTTTTTTTAATTAGTTGCCATTGTTTAACATACAGGAATTTCACACAAAAATTCAAATTTCTGGTTTGTCTTGAGAAATCAGAAGATCTGGCCACATTTGGCTGCTGTCCCTTATGATTGAATACTGTTGTAGCGGTCCTTTGTGATCCTTCCGGCGCCAGGATCTGAACCCCGGTGCCATGTTCAGGGATGCCCCCAGTTCACAAGTTTTGATGGGAGGAAGATGTCATTTCCCACCATTGAAGCTATAGATGCGATACTCACTAGCATGCGACCCAGGCTTGGCCAATTCGGCACGTCTCCCCAGACTTTTAATGGAGCGCTAGTTTTAGGAAGAATCCAGTACAGGAGAGAATTGGTGAACTCTTTCTGGCGGTAGAAATGATGAAAGCAACGTCCAGTTTCCATGGCCAGTGCTTTCAGTAGCAACCCAAGGTCGGTCACAGCGGCAGCAGTTTCCCTGCTGGCTTGTTTCCATGGAGTACTTCTGACCATGGATTCAGTTCCACGGCATGTCTTTGTCCCATTTTCCAAGCCGGGTTCTCCAGCTTGCCTATTGATTATGAGTTAGCTAATATTTTGTTGCTACATTCCTTTTCCGCTTAAATCTGCCACCTACAAACTCCGCCCCCTTGAGGCAGGGCATAATTTCCACCGAACCCTCTTCCTTTATATATTAACTTCCAGGCTACTCAGAGACATGTGCGCTTGTAACTGCAGACGTTCTCTCTGTCTCTTTAAAGTGATAGAATTATGGCAGCTGGAGAGAAGCTAAAGACCATCTAGCACAAGGATCAGCAAAGTAATGAGAAAAGTATCCCAGAGGCACCTTCCCTCCCACCCCTACTTCCTCTTACATCTCATTGGGCAGAACTGGGTCACATGCTCACCCTTTAAGCCAATCAGGGGACTAGGGTTGCTGTGATTGGCTTAGTCTAGGGCAGTACAGCTTTCGCGGAATGTTAGAATCACTTGAGAAGCTTTTTAAAACGCCAATCCCCAGTCCCACCCTAGAGGCCAAATGTAATTGGTTTGGCTGGACTTCTGGCATTGGAATTTTTTAAAATCCTCAAGTGCTTTTAATGTCATCCCTCTCTCTAGTCCAGCCCCCTACCCCTGCCCATTTTAGAAATGCCAATACTGAGGTCCAAAGAGATATTAAGTAACTTACCCAAAGGACTATACCTTCAATTAATAGCAAAAACAGAAACAAATAAAACCACACCCATACAAATGTCATTTTAAAGGACACCTTTGTTTTTCCAGAATATGCATGTGAGCATCCTTTTTTCTTAGAAAGTGAAGTCATGTGGAGCTCAAGGACTGAGAAGCAGGAGAGGGTAGGGCAGTGGTTCTCCAACTTGAGCGCATCAGAATCCCCTGCAGGGCTTGTTAGAACACAGATGGCTGGGCCCACCCCCAGAGTTTCAGATTCAAGGGGTTTGGGGTAGGGAGAAGAATAATTAACATGTCTAATAAATGTCCCAGGGGCTGCTGCTGCTGCTGCTGGTCCAAGGACCACACTAGCACAGTGGCTAAGAGCTTGGGCTATAGAATCACACTGTCTTGGTAAGATTCCGTTCTGCCCCTTACACCAAGTCAGAATGTGGGCAAGTTACTTAACATATCTATGAAATGAGGCCAATGATATAGCTTGGAACTATCGCAACAAGTGAGTGAGTCTAATAAATGTAAAGTACTTAGAACAGTGTCTGGCACATAGTAACTGCCTAATGAATATTAGCTATTATCATTCATTCATGGAAGAATTATTGAGTGCTTCCTCGGAGCCAGGCACTATTCCAGGCACCAGGAGTACATTGGTGAATCAAAGCCCCGCCCCTCAATGAGCTTACAATCCACGGGGGAGACACACAAAGCCTGAACTTGGAAATGTATAATATAATGTCCCACAGAAGAATTCTGCATCCCCAGCAAACGGAACAGCAGGTGCGCACAGAGTTGTATGAGAACTCGGTCCAGTCTTGCTCGCATCTTCCGGCTCAAGGAGCTGGTGGCATCATGTTTCTAATGCAAAGACCCCCTAGCACGACGGCTCTTACATGGTAGTTGAATAAAGCCCAGGTTAGGGCATTTTTAGTTAGAGTTCTCCAGAGAAATAGAACCAATAGAATATCTATACAAAATTTATATTTATACTTATATTTATGTAGATTTAAAAATATGTTTTTATATTATATATTATACAAAAATACATATTATATATTAATAATATATTTATGTAATAAATATATACTTTGTATTTTAAATATATTTTTCTATCTTTCATATATTCATATTTGTATAATGTACATCTATATCATAGGAATTGGCTCACAGGATTATGGAGGGCGAGGCGTCCCACGATCTGCCATCTGCAAGCTGAAGACGCAGGAAAGCTGGTGGTGTAATTCAGTCTGAACCCAAACGCCTGAGAATCAAGAGTTCAGATGTCTGATGTTCAAAGGCGGGAGAAGATGGATGTCCCAGCTCAAAAAGAGAGCAAATTCACCCTTCCTCCGCCTCCTGTTCTGTTCAGGCCCACAATAGCTTGGATGGTGCCCATGGGCATTGATGAGGGTGATCTTCTCTACTCAGTCTACCCGTTCAAATGCCAGTGTCTTCCAGAAAGACCCTCAGAGACACACCCCAAAAATAATGTTTTACCAGCTCTCTGGGCATCATTTAGCCCAGTCAAGTTGACACATAAAATTAACCTTCACAGGCATAGTCATACCAGCCAATTCTTTAGATTTTTTTTGAGAAGGAACATTTGAAACAAGAACAGTGGAGATGAGTGTTAGAAGCGAAGGAGAGAGTAAGGTGGCAATGTGCTGCATGCTTCAGATATGTTATTTCCTTTAATCCTTGCAACCATCTTGGAGTAGATGTTATTGGATGAGGAGACAAGCACCTGCCCAAGGCCAAGGGGAAAAAGTGGCATGTGAGGATCTGATCAACCAGGATTAGAGTCGGCCTGGCGGGAAGCAGAGAGCAGGGCATCGTCGTACCACAAGCCACATCTCACCTCCTTCTTCTGGGTCCCCAGGCAGGGGCTGGGGTGAAAGCCATAACTGCCATGAGGTATTTGTCCACTGTCCCACTTCTCTGTTCCTAAAGCAGGTGACAGCGATGTCATAAGATGCAAGGAGCTGCTACTTCGGAATCAGAACGCTTCTGACCCCGGGCCAGCCTCATCTCCTCCCCAGTACTGTTGTCTTTCCCAGCATGTTAAAACAAACAAACAAACTTTATTATGGATGTAATACACACTCATTGCTGGGAAACACAGACTAGCAAAATAGAAGAAAATAAAAGTGGTCCATAATCCCCTCATCTCAGAAAAAAACACTAGGATTTTGATACCGAGTCTCCCTTCAGATCATAGGGAGCCTGTCCTCTGTGCTTGCTAACTAGCCCTTTCCAGTTACACATAGGGGGTCACCTTGCCTCTCCCCGTCTCCCCGGGCTGGGGAGTCCCGCTGGCGCGGGAGAGAGGTGGCGCTGCTGGCTAGAAGGGCAGCGCGGGAGAATAGTGGCTGCAGGCGCCTCCGGTAACCTGGCAACCTGCGCCTTAGCAAAGGCAAGGGGGCGGGACCGAGGGAGGAAGTCGGAAGCAGGCGGCTAAGTCTCGCGAGAGTTGCGTATGCGCGCGAACTCTAAGTGCAAGGGTACCCGCACTGGGTTACGCTGGTCGTTGAGCAGGCCCTTGGGGGGACGTGACGACCCCAGCGGACCCGATCACCTTCGTCTCCTCTTCATGGAGACCTCCGCCCCCGAGCAGCAGCAGTCCGCGGCGACGGCCAAGATCAGGAACCTGCCCTGGTAGGAGGAGGCCGGCTGCCGCGGGGAAGGGGCTGGGCCGCGCGGGGAGGCGGTGGCCGAGGTGGGCAAGTGGCGCGGCCCCGGCTGACCTCGCCCCGCCGCCCCCGGACCTGCGGCCTGGGCGGAGCCACAGAGATTCGCCTTGACACCCCCGACGCCCCAGTCCCCCTCCGTTCTCTTTGGGACTTTCGCCACGTTCCCCGCACCCACCGATTCCTTTTGCACGCAGAGGAAAGCGGCTTTCTCACGCACCTGGGTGACAGCACAAGGGTTCGGTCCCGCGTCTTCTGACATTGCATTGCCCTCTGTGCCAAAATGTTCTTCCCTCTTACCAGAAATCTTGGATGCGATTATTGGTCAAATTCCTAACTAAAATAGTGATGTTAATAATAGTAATTCTCCGTAGGTAACTTTAGTTTAAACGACTTTCTATTAGATTAGTGGTCACCCTGTTAGGTCTTTACAAAGACCGTGGGAGGTGGGTACTGTTATTATTTCAATTTTACATGTGGGGAAACTGCGTCCTAAAGGTTAAATGACCTGCCTGAGATGCAGAGGTGGAAAATGGGCTTGGGTTTGAACCCAGGTGGTCTGGATTCACAGCTGGCACTCAACCGTCCTACTCCCACGACTGTCGGAGAGATGCTTTAAAGACTTTGATGGGATTTGGCTTGCTTTCAGAAAACTCCAAGTTGTTCTTGTCTAAGAACAAGTTCAGTTTGTTTTTATCCTGACTAAAACACTTAACATACAGGTTACAGTTGTAACCATTTTAAAGTGTATGATTCCGTGGCATAAAGTTGTGCAACCACCCCACTATCTAATTCCAAAATTTTTATCAGCCCGAAGGGAAACTCCATACCCGTTGACAGTAACTCCGCGTTCCCTCCTCCCTCAGCCCCTCCCGGCACCCACTAATCTGCTTTCTATCTATGCATTTGCCTATTCTGGACATTTCATATAAATGGAATCATATAATATATGACCTTTGTACCTGGCTCCTTTCACGCAGCAGTGTTTTCACGGTTCTTCCATGTTGTAGCGTGTATCAGCAGTTCATTTCCTTTTATTGCCAAATAATATTCCATGGTATGGATATACCACTATCCATTCATCTGTTGATATATATTTGGGTACGAGTTCAATTTTGAATTCACTTTGAAATAAGAGGTGCCCAACCAGGTTGAGATTATAGGCAGATGGCTGGAAAGGTGAAATTAGAAATTATTGACATTTTGGGCCAGATACTTTGGGAAGGGGGAGGGCATGGGGCCTGTCTTGTGCATTATTGGATGTTTAGCAGTGTCCCTGGGGCCTACCCACTATATGCCAGGAGCACCCTCCACCCAGCTGTAATAACAGAAAACGTCTCTATATATCGCCAGATGTTCCCTGGAGGACGGAATCACCCCTGGTTGAGAACCGGTGGTTTAAATTCAAATTTAAAGGGTTTTGTTTCTCTTCCCCTTTTAGTGAGGACGTGAAAGGATTCTTTTGCACATGACAAAATGTTCTTGCATTTATATATGTTGTAATCCATGCTAAATTGTATTTTAGGGTTGAAAAGTACCGGCCACAGACACTGAATGATCTCATTTCTCATCAGGACATTTTGAGTACCAGTAAGTATCCAGGTGTCAGCTGCTGTTATCCTAGTCGAAGGACCTGTATACATTTCCTGGTGATGTTGTCTCTACTGAGTAATGACTCTGAAGAATTGGATTGAGCTTTATGTGGCTTTAAGAATTGAGTCCTTGGGATTTTTCCTTCCTGCATCTGATTTGAACACAGGGCTGAAGGGCATTCAGCCCGACTCAAGGGCCCACAGTGAATGAGGCAACTCTCAGAGACTCAAGGTGTCTCTTTTTCTTCCCAATCCTCAGTTCAAAAATTTATCAGTGAAGACCGCCTGCCGCACCTGCTTCTCTATGGTCCTCCGGGGACAGGAAAGACATCCACCATCCTCGCCTGTGCTAAACAGCTGTACAAAGATAAGGAATTCGGCTCCATGGTCTTGGAGGTAAATAGGAGGATTATTCTTAGTCTGTGAAGGACTCCAGTCTCTTACTTTTAGTTCTGCTAGTTTTGTTTCACTTTAAAAGTAAGTTGCCCTGCTGGCAGTTGGGAAAGAAGCAGACATAAAATAAGATATTTCAATTCACTTTTTTCTATAATCGTCATTTTGGTCTGGATTGGCATTAGCTAGAGGGCAGTTGAAGGGTTAGGTGGTATTATTATTATTATTATTTTTTGCTGTTGCCAACTTTTGCCCAAACCTTTGGTGGTCCCTCAGTTGCTGGCTGTCTCCCGTATGCCCCTCCAGATAGCTTCTCCACATGGCTCCACCCTGTTCTTGCCTCAGAAGGCCGAGCCGTATTGACTACAAGCTCCCTTGCCCTCTGGGTCCTGGTTGGGTTTGGCCAGTAGAGGCCCTGGCAGGGGTCAAGGAAGGAGATTAATGCCTGGTCCTGCCCTGGGGGTTACCATAGGCTGGCAGCATCCCCACCTGCAGGGCACATCACACAGCCCTCTCCAGGTGCCAATAGCAATCCCACCCCTAACCCTGTAACACCTGGGGGTGGGAATGGGCCCCAGTAGTCCCTGAGCTATTGCATATCCATGGTGGTTTCCCCACACCCCACCAGACCTTTTCAAATACCGCTTCCTTTAATTTTCTACAAATTACTGGATTTGAGTATGCCATGTGTTTCCTTCTGGGACCTCAACTGATATACTTAAATCACAAAATTCTAAATACTATCTATGGCAAGAAAAAAAGTTTAACTTTTCTTTTTTAGATTGGCACCTGAGCTAACAACGGTTGCCAGTCGTTTTTTTCTGCTTTTTCTCCCTAAATCCCCCCAGTAGATAGTTGTATATATTTTTTTAGTTGTGGGTCCTTCTAGTTGTGGCATGTCGGACGCCCCCTCAGCGTGGCCTGACTAGCGGTGCCATGTCTGCGCCCAGGATCCGAACCAGCGAAACCATGGACTGCCAAAGCAGAGCATACAAACTTAACCACTTGGCCTGGGGCCAGCCCGATAACTTATTTTTTTGATATAGGTCTTAGAATCTTGCTGCCACCAACATTCTTACTTCAATGTCTTAAAAACTTGGTAACTTCCAGGTTGCTCCGGGTTGTGGTAGCTAAAGTTAGCATCATTCTGCTCATGCCAGAGGTGCTATTCAGTGTGACCAGGCCAGTTAATGATTCCTCAAATATTCCTCAGTGATTGTTCTCAAAAGGGGGAGGAAAAAAGTCATTTGTCTTCCAGAATGTTATGTAATGAATGATCTAGTGAGTTGTGAGTTTTATATATAGTTGTGATCTTGTTGTTTTTTTTTTTTTTAATAATGATTATCTGTTAGCTGTCATTAAACCTAGAGACCTAGCTTGCTAAGCTGGATTGGTGAAAAGATACATTAATACGTAGATAGCACACCAACGTGTTTTTTATTTATTCTGGCTTCTTTCTCCCACATTTAGCTGAATGCTTCAGATGACCGAGGAATAGATATCGTTCGGGGACCAATCCTGAGCTTTGCTAGCACAAGGACAATATTTAAGTAAGAATTATTTGCCTAATTTCTCTCCCTAGAGATGTTGATCAGCTTAATTTTTTTAATCCTCCCTTTTGCCAGTTTGTAAAGGTAAAAAAAAATAACTTTGTCAAAAGCAGCCATGAAAAAGAAATAAATTGCAGGGATGGTAGTAAGAAATATTAAAATATAAATATTGAAATAAGATATTATCTAAGCCTATATTAGCAAATTCTTTGGGGAAGCATTAACTTCATCTTATCAGTTAACTGAGGCCTGATTACATCCTAAGACTGGATGAGCTGGTTTGAATTTAAACAAAAACAAATTGAGATTGGGACAGATAACTAGGATGGTGGTTTAAAAAAAAAAAAAAAGGGAAAGAAAAAGATGAAAAGACAGGCATGAGTGAAGGTGGTGGAAAGAAGCCGCGCTAGAGTAATAGGATACTATGCAGAAGGAAGATGAAGGTGCCAGAGGATACAACGTAAAAACATACAGAAGTTAGGTCTCAGTTCCCTGTGAGAGTTGAAGGAGTGATGGGATATGTCCTCTCTGTGTGACCGCAGATGTTTGCTTTGGTCAAAGTTGTAGGAGATATGGACTTTATGAAACAGGGCCTGGTGGCACAAATGTGAAGATGCAGATTTGTGCCTGGAAGTTGGAGTGAGATTGAAGAAATCTTTAGATGGTGCCATTTTTTTTCTCAGGAAAGGCTTTAAACTAGTGATCTTGGATGAAGCTGACGCCATGACTCAGGACGCCCAGAATGCCTTGAGGAGAGGTAAGAAGAGCTGCCAGGTACGGTGTGTTAGCTGATCAGCGCTTCGGTGGGAGAATTAGGAACTTTGGCATGAGCTGTGATGTGGCTGGTTTTCCGTTTTCGTTCATCTTCTGGCCCAGAGAAGTCTGTGTACCTTTCTCTGGGTACCCCACCTGATGATCTAGACAAAATAGCTTTGTATCAGGGTTCCCCCTTTCAGTAGCTTAAGGACATAGCCCTGTTGGGACTTTTAGGTGTGACCAGACACTGGTGTGTCATCCTTTTCTGCTGGGTTCAATTTCATGGTTGATGGGAGGTTATGGAAAGTCTTTCATTCCTAAACTGCTCAATAGACCTTTTTGCCGTTCGTACCCTTAGATACAAAATAGCCAGGAAAATAATACTGGGAATTTAGTGACAGTCAGAAAGCTGACATGACTTCCCTACTTGCCAAGTGAGGGATTTGGCAGGGAAGGGAGGGTATCCTGTCACTTGACTGTCTCAAGGGGCCTGGTGCGGTTAGTTTCTTTGAAAGGCCATTCCTGATTCTGAGGTAATCAGCTAGGAGAGAATGGCCTTTAGGAGTTCGGGGTGGGAAGGAGTGGATTGCAGCCCACGTTTAAGAAGAGGAGGACAGTTAGAATATCTTCTGGTCCAAAAGCTTTGGCAGCCTTTCTTTGGCATCTTGTTTTGTGGAGTGACTGTCAGTCTGGGCAGATCCCCATGCGAGAACACTGGGTACCTACAAAATGAGACTGCTGTCATAAGCATCTCTGAATTGGAGTTGTTGCTCCCTCGAATGCTCTGAGGCTTCAAGACAAGGTCCACTGGAAAGTCTGCAAGAAGCCACTCCCCTCCCCGCCCCATAGAAGATGAAGCATCATCAACCTGCGAACAGAATTTTATGCAAAAGGGCAGGAATACTGGAGTTCATATCTTAATGCAATGGAATGGTAGGAGCGCCAGAATCATGGCAACTCTTGAAAAAGGGTGCGTTTTGTAAAATCCGTGGAAGTGACTTGTCAGCTTTTGAAAGGAGAGTGGCTGATTTCTAGTCTTGACCACACTGGTGACACCCTCTCGTTATAGTAGCATCCCCACTGTTTGCATTCTTGAATTCTTTTCCTGTACCCTCTGTGGGACCATAGAAAAGTTCAGGCTTCTCTGTCCCTTGAGATATCAGAATGGACATGAGGTGGTTTTCTTTTCCCTTGCCAGTGATTGAGAAATTTACTGAAAATACCAGATTTTGCCTCATCTGTAACTATCTGTCAAAGATCATCCCAGCCTTGCAGTCCCGATGTACAAGGTTCCGATTTGGTCCCCTCACTCCAGAACTCATGGTCCCCCGCCTTCAGCATGTTGTAGAAGAAGAGAAGTAAGTATATTGAAAAGCAGGAAAGAGGAGTGTCTCGGGGATTGAGTGTGGTGTAAGCAGGGCTCTGGGATGGCCGGCGGGTTTCCATTTAAAGCCGTGTTTGTAAGTGACTTAGCAGAGTGCCCAGCACCAGGGTCTGTTAGCTGCTGTCATTTTCTCCAGTATCTCCCAGACGCTCTTCATAACAATCATTTGGTTCTTCTCTTGCTTCCATCCTCCTCCCTGGAAGCTGTCTCAGTTGCCTCCTACTCTTCTTTTGTCATTGGAGACTACAGGCTGCCAAGTCCCTTCTGCTAAGATGCCTCTTGGCTTTTTTGACTAGAAGGGAAGGTTCTGAGACATTGCATTCTGTGTAATCAGATGCCAAGCAAGTAGCCCACCCAAGCTGCTGCTTATCTCAAAGGGGGTGCTTTGGCTCTGATCGCAGATCTCACCAGTGCCCTTTCCAGAGAACAGAATTTAGAACTGGTCGTTCAACATAGCAATGCTTGGGCCTAAAATAAGGGTCTGTCTAGATTTTGAGTGGGCTGTGACTACTAATGTGAAGCCCACATCCCTAAAAACCAGAAGGAATTCTAGATCCTGGCGAGCAGGAGAGGATTGTTAACTCCTTCCTTTCCTTTCTTTCTTTCATTGTTTCAAAGCCTTAATCACTCCAGGCCATCTCGTTCCCTGGGTGAATGCCTGTGCTCTCAGGGGCCTCTATGTCCCTTCTGCCTGTTTCCTTTCAGAGTTGCTATAAGTGAAGATGGGATGAAAGCACTTGTAACTCTCTCCAGTGGAGATATGCGAAGGGCCCTGAACATTTTGCAGGTACAGTACTATTTGCAGCAAATCTCAGAGTCATTGCTTCGGAATAGTTTTTAAAGAAAGACATAAGCAACAGTACAACCAATCTGTAAACTCAGAAATCTAGAACTGGTAAGACTTTGGTCTCATAATGCGCCAAAGATTTCCCCCACCTTTGCGTTTTGATTAATTGAAAAAGTAATTTGTTGCAAACAAGGGAAAGATAGGGAATGATTGTGCAGCTGTAATGTGGTCAACAAACAGTGGCGTACTCTGATGAGGCCAATTCTTACCGGTGTAAAAAATACGAGGTTTGAGCCGTCCTGTGCCCTTGCAACCTCGCTGCCTCAGCGGTTTCCTCCTGACCAGCCTGCAGTTTGGCGGCTGCTCTGAACAGCCACTGTGATTCTCCCCCTGTCTGCACAGAGCACCAATATGGCCTTTGGGAAGGTGACAGAGGAGACTGTCTACACCTGCACAGGGCACCCGCTCAAGTCAGACATCGCCAACATTCTGGACTGGATGTTGAATCAAGATTTCACCACAGCCTACAGAAGTATCCTTTCTTGTGTCCTGCCGAGGGCGCAGTAAGTGCCTGAGACCAGAACTTGGTCCCATTGCTCAGGCTGCAGCCACACCCGTACCCTTCTGGTGAAAGACAGTTGGCTGCGTGTGACTCTGGTCAGCTTGTGGTGGGAGCACGATGTCTGCGGATGGAGTGAGGACTTGTCTTAACACCCCAGAGTTCTTCCTGAAGGGCTCTGACCTGGGGGCGGCTTGAAGCTGCTTCACTCACAGATGGGAGAGCAGCAGTTAGACCTGGGGATGGAAGATGCAACCGTTTTCAAGTGGTCAGTATTACTCTTGTTTTACCGTGAAATTAAAAGCTAGGGGAATGATATGAAGCCTTTTTTGGGAATGCATGTGGCTGTGTTCTCTGCTAGACAGAGATAAACCTTATTGAAGGTTGAAAGCCCTTATTGAAGATGAAAACATAAGAAAAATAAGAATTGGGGTCCAACATGTGCAGCTTCAAATGGAAAAAGAGCAACAGCTGCGCTGGGACTAAAAGCCCTACTTTTGGAAGTCACTCACCGGGGTGTGGATTCAACATTCTCTGCACTGTGTTTGTTCTGGAACTTGTTCCCTTTGCCTTAACTGCTCCTCTCTAGATATTACAGAGTTGAAAACTCTCAAGGGCTTGGCATTACATGATATCCTGACAGAGATACACTTGTTCGTGCACAGAGGTAACTTCCACACTCTTCCCTGGGTTAGCAGCTGTGGAGAGGGTGATGTGCTTTGGGGTAACGGCTGGTTAGACAGGGAGCATGTGGCTTCATTTTTGAAGCAAAAATACAGGAATGAAGAGGAAGTATGAACCTGACCCCTCATTTTTAGTTTTGTCTTGCTGCTATTTAAAACTTTGTTCCAAAAATACTCTTTTAACCTTTAGAACTGCTGGGGAGAGTGGAAACTCCTGAAAGCTAACTTTATTTCCACCGAGGGTTTGTATTTTATAGCAATAAGTAGTATATTTTAATTCACATTTCTAACAGAGTATTTTTCCCAAAAGGGGAGGGGGAGAAAGGCCTGTCTTCCTGTAAAGCGCAGCAGTCTTAAGTAAACCATCTGAAGTTCCACACTTGCTCATATCTTCTAGACAAAGAATCAGTTCCCAACCTTGCAGCACCTAGGAGTCACCCCAGACCAATTAAGTGGGCCTTTTGGGGGGAATGGGCATCGGTATTTTCTCAAGCCCCCCTGTGATCTTTGGCGCAGCCTTTTGGAGCAGCTCTTCCCTCCACAACAGCCAACTGCAGACAGAGACTGCCGGGCCCATGAATGTTGGTTCTGACAGTGCCTTTACAGGCCTCTTCCTGGCTGGCTGGCATGTTTGCTTCTGCCCGAGAACATGGTCGGCCCAAACCGGGCTCTGCACTTTGTGCAATCTGAGCATGAATTGACTTTTAAAAATCAGTTGTTTTTAAAACTAGGACGGTGAGAACTCAGCTTTCAAGTTAGCTTGTAGAGCTATCATTTGTTCAAAGAGCAGTCTTGGTAATGCTTCTGTCTTCTCATGATCACTTTGGAATCTGCTGCTTTTCTTTTTGGCTATACCATGAAGAATCACAAAATGGAGTGGATAAACTATGAAAACGTATACACTTTTTACTTCATTAGAGGTGTGGTATCTAGTGATCTGAGGCCTCAAGAGAAGTTTAGTGTTATCTATTTGATGTTTCAACTCATACTTGTCTTGTGTGATTTTAATAGTAGGGAGTGACAGACCTCACTCATTTGATTTCATTTTTCCCCCAGTTGACTTTCCAACTTCAGTTCGAATACATTTATTGACCAAAATGGCAGACATCGAGTGAGTATTTATTTCCCAGTTTTCATTCTTTTCCTGCTGTTATCCCTTTGGTGTTTGTTGTTTCTACCTGCTTGGTTTCAACCTTTTTAAATCATTCATATATGGTATAATCTAAGTTTTAGGTGGTATTATTGAATGATACATGGGGAAGAGTGTGAGTTGCTTAAAGAACATATGAATAAACACAAGCAGGGTACAGCTCAGTTATATACTTGGGATAAAGACCTCAAAGGCTTGGGCTCCACATTGGTTCTGGAAATGCTCTTGTTATTTGGGAGGCCTGCTTCAGTTCAGACATCTATGTCATTTGGGGATGACCAGTCATCCTGCTGTTATTAAGGCATTTTGGCATGCTAAAGCATATTGGGGGGAAAGTAAACATAAATTCAATTTCCCACTTTGCCTGGGTCAGTAACCACAGTTATTAGCCCCCGGTGAAGCTGGCAGCTATCATTTAAGTAGACAAAGCATTGGGTTCAAAATAGACATCAACATAGGCCAACTCTAATTTGCTGTCATTGGCCTTCACATGCACAAATTAGGTCACGTTGTGAACATGAGGATTTTGTTTTCAATGGCTGGGCACTTAAAAGGTGTCAAGATGAATTGCCAATGTCCTGCTTTACTGACTAGACCACAGAACCACAGATATGTCAACCAAACTTCCCAGTGAATTCAGAGGAAAGAAATCTTAATTATGATTCTTCTCTTAATGCATTTTGTGGATAAAGAAATAATCCTTAATCACATAAATTCTGCATATCAATATTCAGTTAGAACAAAGTTAAGTTCAGAACACTGTTATTGCTAACAATTTTTAAAATTTTTCCTCGCCAGTTTGAATCATTTTCATAAATGAGTGTTTAAGGCAGAGAAGAAAATGTTAGAGGACACTTAACATTGCTGTTGAGGATAAGTTTTTATTACCTCCTATCCTCCAGATTTTCAGTCTTTGATCTCTGTTGTTCTTGTTAAAAGGCAGCTGTCTGTGATATTCTCTATTCTTACTTTTTGTTTCATTTCTTTCAGGTACAGACTTTCTGTTGGCACCAACGAGAAGATCCAGCTGAGTTCCCTCATTGCCGCTTTTCAAGTCACCAGAGACCTGATTGTCTCAGAGGCCTAGATGTTGAGGATCATTTGCTACAGTTGTCACGCCCAGCAGTGACTGGAGAACAGGGGACTTGGTTATGGGATGAAGCCACAGTCACCCCACATCTTGAAAACTGTTCCAGGCGTGGGTGGGCAGACGTTTAAAAAGTACTGTGTGTGTGGCTTTTTGGAACAGGGATGTACAAAACAACTTTAACATACAACTATTAATTGTGTTTTATGGGGGGGAAGCAGCAAAAACCTTTTCTTCAGCCTTAAGGCTTTTACAGTTGCTTGGATGACAGGAAACTGGCCTACCCCATTTTGGTGTGGAACATAAGGCTTTCAAAGTCCAAGTGTCTTCCAACTCAAGATAAACAAAACATCTCCAAAATTAAGTTTATAAATCTAATCTGTGGAACAATCTTTGTATCTAAATAGATGTTAGTAGATTTCTGGCCAAAACTATCATACTCCTATAAAAATGGACTCAATTCTCTTACTTTAAAAACTGGTCTTTTTATTTCTCTTCTTGAAGTAGAATTACTAGCAGGCCCCTAATTGTGGTGTATTGACAGTAGAGGAACGTTCACTTAGATTATGCCACTGGGGGCCAGAGGTTGTACAACACTCACTTGTCAAGGCAGGGAGGGCACGTGAGATGGAGCTGGACTGTGAACCGGCACCTGCTCAAGGATTAGGACTTGTTTCTAACTGGAGCGTTTATTTCACAGCAATTACGCTGCATTTATGATAGTGGTCTTCACAATAAAGCAGCTTTCTTGTTGGTTGTATTACAAGTGACTCTTCCTTCCTTAGCCCGGTATACTTACTCAGCTTGCATCTATATGAAAAAGCTGCCTCGGTCTCTGGTATCACAGAATAAACTTTCTTTGGAGGCTTTTCGTTATAAAGTTGTCAAATTCTTATACTACCAAAAGGGAGAAGTCAGTTATTTCCATCATTCGTGTAAGACTCGCTCCCCAAGAACACCAGCAAAGTTTGAATCTAATGGCCAGGTGGGACCTCAAGGAGCCACCCAGAGCCTCTAAGACTATGCTGTCTGTGATATTTCAGGCTAACCACAAAATTAAAAATTTGCCCAATGCATTCCCATCTGTCCAGTCACACTCACTTGTTTTAAAAGGGGATTTTTCTTTCTTACTAGAAGAAATGAAACAGAGAGCCAAAAGCTTTTCACTTTGCTTCAATGAAAGCTTCTCATCTAAAAGAAATGTTTGCCGTCAGCAGCAAAGGTGGTGGGAGAGATTCCTCTACATTTTCAAGTTTTATAATGTTACACTGGCCCCCATAAAGCACCTATTAAGAAAGCCAAAGGATAAGATGTTGCATTTCTTTTAAAATAATTTACAATATATTAAATTTTCCAAAGGCTGATTTTGTTTGAATGAGGCGTCTCCACTGAAGGAGAGCAGCGCTTTTAAGAAGCTGTTTCTGTTTAGGGGTGGAGTGGAGGCTGGCTGATGAGTCTGAGGTGAGGCAGTAGTCAGCTCTGCATGAGAGTCAGCTCGATCGATGACCACACCAGGTCTTTACACAAGGAAGAAGAGACAGCTTCACAACTGTTGGACTTAAGTACTATGGTTTTTAGATACCGTCGAGAAAAACACAGTTGTACCTTAACATCAGTTGAGAAAATACAATAAATATGGTAACGAATGGCAAACAACTGACAACTCAGTAGCCATTTGAACAGCCATGCAGTTTAGGAATACATCCTTGTGTAATCTGACATATAAATTTGTCATCTCCTGCACATGCACACCATTGTTAAAAACAAAAAAAGCCAATGATAGTGTCTGTATCAGTCAGGAGCACAGCGTCTGAGTCACCTGTAATTTAGTTAAGCTAAGTTAATACCTCACATCAGACGGCTCCAGGAAAATTTTGTCCTGCTGGTCAGAGGGGAGCTAGACAAAGGAGAGCATTTGCCAACATCAAAACAACTGACACAGCAGGAGAGAACTTTAAACGATGCCACCACTGCATCTGAAACACAATAATGACAAGTACTAGGCAGAAGCCACACTTCCCAGTTGAGGGAGTTGAAACTCTGCCACTACACAGAGGCTTTTGAGGGCTAGTTACTCTTATTAAAACAACATCAGTAACTGCACTTTGAATCAGAACAACTAGAAAGAGTTCAAATTGCTGTTTATAAGTGGACTGAAGCTTTAAGGTAAGGCTGTGTTGCCGTGGATGCAGAATCCCCTCTGACTGACTTGCACGTGTCACAGGGGGAAAGATGCATGACCAGTCCACTGGAATCTGGTTTTGCTACATTCTATTCACAATCCCAAAGAGAAATTCTATTTCAATCCAAGATCAGATGTTTGGCCCATTACTCCAGCTACTCCTTTGCCAGGAAGATTTATCCTGCTACAAAGAAAACAAGTTAAGACTGTAGCGTTGCTTAAAAAGTCCTGTACGTGAGGAACTCTTTCATTTTCTTGGGGATTGGCAGTGCTAGCACTTGGTAGGTTGTTAGGAAACTTCGAAGGGCTTTTCGGCATAAGTGCTTCAGTGATGATAGGACCCTAGGAGCTGTCCAGAACTGGACATGGCCATCCCTCGTCCTGAAACGAAACAGAAATCGACGTGTAAGGACAGACCTTGGAAATACATGTTTTCATTGTGATGGTTATTAATGTTTCCACTCTGACTTGCAATAGCAGGAGACTCTGGAGTGAGATGCAACCCTGACCGTTGAAATGGATGTAAAGGCTGTGGTGCTAAATAATTCAATCTGCTGAAAGGACTAGAAGAACTCCAGCCACCTTTGATATCAAAGTGCTATCTGTCAGCACAGCCCTCTTTAAACCGCACTATGAGCGCGAATGGAACAGAGGGAAGATGAGTGCCACCGACTGAATTATAGATGTTCCCTGGAAGGTGGTCTCTGCCCTAAATGGTTTCCCATATAAATTCTGCATCATCTTAATTTACGCTTCCTTGCAGATATGGCCCATTAGGTGGCATGAATTGTAGCTCTTTAATTACATTTAGATTAAATATTAAAGAGTAAATAATAACCTATATTGGCAGAATAGAATATTAGAATTTTAAGTAATCTTGGATTTCCTAAAAGGTTTCCTCATAGGCAAGAAAATTCTAGATGCTTTCTTTCCTTAAAAAGCTACATGGTATACTCAGCAGCAATTGCTACCCATCTGTTCAGCTAACAGATACATACCCTGTGGCAATAACTCCACCATGTGGAAAAAATGTGCAGCAAAGACCATTGGTCATAGGAGCAAACGCAATTGGAGTTTTCAGTTCCAGGGCCCAGATCCTGAGGAGCCTGGACGAGAGAAAAAAAGAACATTCACAGATTAGCAGACCTGGGGCCAGATGCCGAGGGTGATGCTAAAATTATTTGCAGGGACTTGCTCTGAGGCCGCATAAAGATGTCTCTTCATTACCTGTCATCCGCCACCGTGGCGAGGTACAAGCCTTCGGGAGAGAAGCACACAGATCTCAGGGAGCTAATGTGGACATCACTGTCGTCCATGGGGGGGTCGAGTTGGGTATGGCTGAGGAGAAAGAAACATGACAGTAGGCCTGGAGTGACAGCCACCCTCCCCCCTTCATTTTCATCCCCAGGCAGGAGGCCAAACTGCCATGGCCATGAAAAGACTCAAGATGCATCTTGTACCCCATATGGAAAAGCTTGGGATTTGCAGACAAGAAAAGAAGACTAAAAAAGTGCATTTCCTAAGGCTCCGAGTGTCTTGTGGAGGGGACTGAAGGGTTACTAACACTCCCTGTGCTAATTTTCTTATGCAAAGTAGGTCAGCCCTCACTTTAATGCCACAGTACAAACTGAAAGTCTTTTTTAAGCTAAGATACATGATAATTATAGGAGTACCTATTATTTGCTTCATAAAACAACAGAGACAAAGGGAAAAAGCAGACCAAGTTGTGAGAACACGAAAATTCATTTTGGAAATAACAGTTTCGATAAGAGGATTGTTCTGAGCTTGTTTCTACAGTTATTAGTAAATGGAAAGAAAGAGTCACTTTGAGTTTCATAATGCTGAATCCAAAGAAGTACAGACAGCCTTCTCTATCAGGAGACTCAAAGGCACTCGGGTCTAATTTGAGAACTTAATTGACAATGAAACACTAGTGCACACCAGTGCCTTAGAATAACCACTGAACCCACTGTGTCTTTTCACCAGGGTGTCCCCTCCCATGCCCCAGACTCTAAAAGGGACCTGTCTAATCCAAGGCGGTTTCTCATCAGTCACCCCACAGAGGAAGTCGTACGCAGGGATTCAGTCCTTACTGGAGTGACCTCAGCCTCTCCCCAGTGTAGGGGTCCCACATGATCACGTTGGTATCGTAAGAAGCTGTGACAAGCAAGGCAGAGTCGGGGGAGAAATCACAAGAGACAACACTGCTTTGGTGGCCCTCTAGCTTCCGGATTAATGTGTAGGACCGCATGCTCCATAGAAAGACCTGTGGAAAGTGACAGATGCCTGGTTAGGGGCAGAAACAAAGTGCTGAGAACATGAACAGTCGGTGAAAGGCAAAGCAATGCCCTCTTCAGGCCCCAGGGCCTGGTGAAGCCAGGTTCTCCACTCCCCTTTTCTACAGCTCTTCCAGAACGTATCATACAGGTTTATAAAGTAACAGGTCTGAATTCTTGAGGCCCCTAACCAATGGACGTGCTCGAGGAACTTCCTTGAAGGGAGAATAAACTGAGCCAGCCTCAGGAAGTCTGCCAGCTACAACATCTCAGTAGAGGCTTCTGCGTTCTGCTTCCAAGCTGTTTGCAAACAGGCAATATGTGCTGATGAAGACCTAAGCCAAGGGCTATCTCATCCCTTCACTTAAAACCAAAAACAGGGCTCAGAAGTGAGCTCCAGGGCCCCCAACAAAGTGGCGGCACCCTGCCAAGACAGTTTACACCGCCCATATGTTTACAGGACCACGGAAATCTGCCCCATGGCTCTACGTCTGACATAGTTCATCACTTTAAACCTTTCTGAGAATCATTAAAAGTAGGATTTTATTTTCTTCCCTTTAAGAAAACGCTCACTTTCACATAGTTCCAAACCTCAAATGAATGATTAACTACCTGGGTATACCAAATAGCTAACTGTTAACTCTCCCAAGTCAGTCACAGCAAACAGCTCGATGCAGGCACAAAATTCAAACAAATTGTTCCCATATTGTCCTTGGGTTTCTAATACTTGTTTAAATAACAGAAAGGATTTCAGGACAAAGTTCAATAAGTAACTGTACATTTTATGATGTGAAATGGAAATTCTAATTAGGTAGATTCAAATTGGATGGTTCAAAGGAAACTTAGATCCATATATGGATGGCAACTTTTTCTTTTTTTTTTTGGTGAAGAAGATTGTCGCTGAGCTAACATCTGTGCCAATCTTCTGCTATTTTGTATGTGGGATGCCACCACAGCATGACTTGATGAGTGGTGTGTAGGTCTGGCCTGGGATCTGAACCCGTGAACCCTGGGGCTGTTGAAAACGGAGTGTGTATGACACCAGGCCGGTCCCTGGGTTGTAACTTTTAAAATCTTAGACTCCAAGGGGAAAAGACATTTAAAAAGCACTGCTTTACCATTCTGTAAAGGCAAACAGCTCCTCTCTTTTGGTTCAGGTCAAAGTGCAAATCAAATGGGAGGTGTGCAGGAGGAGGTCACCACCCACCAGCATACCTTCTGTTGGGGCTGATTTGCAGATGGAGTTTGAGGACACTGGCTTACTGACCCTCTCACAACACAGGCTGCTTCAGACTCCATGTCTTG